GTTGAATGCTTGCTTGAGCGTGGGTTGGGGTGTAACTACGATTGGTATTTTGTAGTTTGAATGAAGTTTAATTTGTGTCTCAAGTTCTGTATTTCAGTTGTAGTGTGATCTAATATTACAATTTCGTGTTTTAATAGAAATAAATGTATCCGAGTTGTCCTTATTTAAGACAACTGATATTTGTAGCCGTTTTCTACACCTAGCTTGTGTATCCATTACGTCCATTAGTTCAGATCACTCGTGTGCCTGTGGAGAACGCGAATATTTTTAGTATGAATCTTATAGATAATGTGCGTTTCGTTTGCGATATTTGTGAGTGTATATGCGTCAATCAGGACAAAGACATAATGAAGTGAACTATTTTAAACGTTCTACAGGTAGCACAGAGACGGACGCAGTTGGTGAGTACTGAAACATTTGTGACTTTCCTGAAAGTGTGTATCTTTTGTGTGTGTGTGTGTGTGTGTGTGTGTGTCCCCGTTCGCATACTAAACCCAATACATGATATATCAGTCTTCCAGTTTCAATACTGAAAGTACTTTCTCGCTAGTTATTGATAAATACTTAATACTTACTCAAATTTTCCCACGCACCATATAAATTGTTCGATCACATAGAGTGTGTCCCAAAAAATATGCATACGCGCAAGATATTATAATGTGTATATATGTTTTTGGGATGCTCTGTACATGCGGTGTAATTTATTGGTTGGAAATTGTACGGTGTTAAATTCGTAAAGAAACTGCCTTTGTTTAATTTCTCGCTAGATCTTAAAATAATGTAGATTATGTAAACATATTATAGGGCCTGTGTATTCATCATATCATTTCAGTATCATACATTAATGAAAGTTAAACAAATCAAAACCACCTGAGACGTAAGACTAATTTTTAAACAAGAAAGTCCGCTACAAGTCATTTACAACGAGGAGCTAGAAATAATGGAGAAGATTACAAGTGAAGAACGTCTTAGTATATCTTCTTTTGAGCTTATAATTTTACATTTTTAAGTTGCCATTTCAACGTGTCTAATCCTGTTTTTGTTTATCAGAGCACAGGACGTATTAAACTGTTGGTTGTTATTAAAGCTACGTGGTCGAAGGCGTGGTAGGTCTTGGCGACGGTCTGATTGAGACTTAGGCCCATGTTTCTGAATCAGAACAGGTCACAAGGCCTACTACGTAACATCTGAAGAATATTTTAGGATATTACTAAAAAGTATAAGACTAATGAAGTAATTACCATGTAGAAATTTATGCAAAAATCTGTTAAAATGGCTCTCCAAAGTTTATTCATTAACAAATTCTGGAGTTGTTTGAGGAATTTTGCTCATCGCTGTGGTACATAAACTTGAGTACATGATACGTCGGTAATTTGGGCTCGGCTTATGTAGTGCCGTTTACGAGATTAGTATTTTCTTACGCGGCGATACGTAGTAATTTCTTGGTACAATAAACTGTCGCCTAGCAACTAAGGCAGACGCAGGAATATAACCGTAAAATTGAAATACGGAAGAATATTTGAACTGCGTGTAGGACAGGCCTTAGTAGCTACTTCTGTTCATCATTACGCCGAGCAATGATTTAGCGTCTTTGAGCTGGTTTTGGTGGTTTAGCAACCAAGACCATTAAATGAAAAAAGTTCACTCGTTAAATTGATATTGGCGTATCTGTCTTTTTATTAATGTACTCTTTGGATTCTGTTAACACGTTCCTTTCAATTCTCTGTCGTGTTTTGAACATCGCATGTGATGATATATCTTAAGCCTTATTTCTTATGTTATAAGTTCACCTGTAGTCAACTTTTTTTTTCTGGTAATTTAATTTCCAAATACATTTATATGTCTGCGAAGTAAGGTCAATATTTCTGAGCCGTGTAACAAAACTAGTACTGACATTTATATATACTGTTTTTTTACATTGGCGTTCCTCTCCTTTTCTTGTGCTGAATTACAGACATGTTGAACCATGAATTATATGTTCTACGTAACTTTCATGTTGAACTTTATACGTAGTTTAGCATTGAGTAAAGTATTTAAGGCTTCATATCACACAATTCGTGAACAAAATATTTATAAATGTGTAGATTTATTTCAATTTTAAGCTGCTTAAATCATGTGCTGTCTGTTTTGAGGATTTTTCTGAGTAATGAATTATAATGATGTAGAAGTAAGTAAAATGTCGTGATGTATTTAAAGATATAAGCTCGGGTTTTATCTCTCGGAAATTTTAAGGAAAATCTCAAAATGTCAGTCAGAACAGCGAGTTGAATTGATAATGGAACTTGGGAGCTATAAAAACATTTTGAGTAATTTGTTAGTTGGAAAGGATGTGTGGAAAAGAGGTATGACGTGTTTTAGAAAAAAGGGCCGGGCATTTTCGTGGAGGGACTGAGTGAAACCTTTACCTCAGAATATAAATCTAGAGTGCTAACTGCTACAGACTTTAATTTATATTGCATTTCAAGTATTTGACTGATTTGTTTGTTAGAGATTTACGTAATTAAGAGAAAATTATCTATATAATAGTGAACATTTGCTGTTTTTTTGGGTTATGAGCCTTACGGGATAATATTTATGACGTGTATGTTGGTATAACTGTTGCCACGATAATGCTGTTAAGGGATTTTGGGCCATATTGGATATTGATGACTGCTAATAGCACATGGGAAATAACTTAAGACGTCCGTGGCATAAGGTACTTAACACAGCATAGCAAGGAAGTGGCCAGTCCTTTGATTCAAACACATTTAAGCTTGGCACTGGAGCACCGCGGAGCTTAGCAGCGTCTCGGGAGATCAGATAAAGCCGACTTCTTGTTAGACGAAGGGTTGTAATGAAATAAAGTAACAAATGCTTTTCACAGCGACAATTAATATTCCATACAATTTAAAATAAAATTGCTGGTCTAAATAAACATGAACGTACCACTTCTAGTCGTGGTAATATTTTCGCAGCTGATTACAATCGGAAATATTTCTTCGTAATTTGTAGTTTTTACCAATTTTTTTTGAGAGATAATCAAATCAAGATTATGAGGTGGTTGTGACGTGTGGCACGCTTTGAGGGAAATGAAAAGTGCTTGAAAAGTTTGAAGAGACCGCACATAAAGGCCTGAGTGTAGATGGGAGGATAATATTAGAATGGATCTCAGGCAAAATATGTTCTGAACACGGTCATGAAATTTTGGGTTTCATAATTTATTGACTATCTGAGCGTGCTATCTGCGTTTCGAGAAGGATTTTGCCTCGTGGTTTGTCCGTCACCTTAAAATTATTAGGTCCGTTTTTAATTTCGTAACCGTGTGAAATTTAAGCAGACTCACAGGACTGGTAATTAGTGTACGTGAGAGTACACATTCACGAAATCGAACTGCGATCTGTGTGCACGTAGCAGACAGGCTGTAACCCTGAGAGAGATAATTAATAACGCCCCCTGTATGTTGACAATAAATAACGCTTATAATAGAAGCATGGTTTAGTTTCTGATATCGCATTGCAACACGTAACAAATCGAACACAAGAAATATCTAAAGAACAAACTCAGTTCTGAAGATGGAAGCATTATTTTCCTCCGAAGAACGTTGGTATATATCTACAGAGTCAATACAGCGTTACAACTCAGAAGACCGACTTTAGATTTTACATGGCGGCTAGGAAGTTCATATAATTCCTGAATTTTCAAAATATGAAGGCGGTGCATATCGAAACGAAATAAGACAGAGAAATTACACTGTAAGGGACACTGTGAGTAATCCTTTCTCCTTATCAATTTGACGAGGATGTTATCGGCTGCAGTTTCCTTCCTGCGAAGCCAAACCAGCAAAATCCCTCTCACCTCAAACGCGTGTGGTCGTGTGGTCGCTTGCTACAGGTTCTGGGTTGTTCGTGCGTACTTGTGGAATTAAGTGGACGTAAGCCAGGCATGTATCAGATCAGTATTTGCATAAGTTATTGTTATTTCTTACATTTAAATTTCTTATTCTTGTAAGTGCAGTGAGTCGACTCATCCGTTTTCATACTAGAAGAGATAAAAATCTTGTCAACAAGTAAAATTTAATATTCTGTTACGAATAACTTCTGAGTTGCATTGTGTAAAATCAAACCATCCTGCGATCTGTTAACACTTCAATTCAGTTATATAGGCTATGGATTTTCAGAAATGGAAATTGGAAGTTATCGTGGAAATACAAATTCATAAAAACGCATCTGTTTTCGAAATTAAGTGACGACGGGAAGGCTAATCAGGTGATGTCACTTAGGTTTCAGCTCAACTAGATTGTAACTCTGCTAGAAAGAGGAACTTCCCTCGTCAGATACAATATGGCGTCGAGTTGGAAGCTTGTGGTTGCCGTGATTGTCCTCATACAGACTCGGCCTACGAGGAATTCATGTCTCTCGGGATGTCTGTGTTCGACACAAGTTCTGGACTGCTCAAACACTAATTTTACAAACATCCCTTTCATCGAGACCTTCAGAGGGGAACTCTACACTGTTCTGAACATGTCCTTCAATTTCATTCGTACACTGGAAGAAAATTCCTTCACGAAACAGTACTTTTCTGTGATCGAAACGTTAGATTTGTCAAACTGCGACCTAAGTGAGATTAATTCGTTTGCTTTTAGGGGTTTGGGTAAAATGATAAATTTAAATTTGGCAAATAATAGCTTGAAGGGTTTAAAAGACAGGCTGTTTGAACCCTTGGTAAATCTTAAAGAACTTTATTTGCAAGGAAACCAGTTATCAAGGATTGTACCAGTGACATTGTCTCCTTTGAGAAAGCTAATTGTTTTGGATATGAATTACAACAGATTATCAGTTATTGATAAAGAAACTTTTAACAGTCTACGTGATCTGAGGGAACTAAGGCTTAAGGGCAATGCAATGAGAGACTTTGCACCTGAAACATTTAGCCCACTGGAAAGCCTTCAGTCTTTGGAATTGCAGTTATTCGGGACGTCCAAAGAAATATCATCGCCTCCCAGCAAAACAGGATTGTCTTCGTGTCTGTGTCAACGAATAACAGCGCTTGGCTGGTGTCAAGGTCGCAATGTCACCTGTTTTGTGACGTGCGATTATTCTCACGAGAATAATTACGATGGAGATTATCGTGTGTGTTCGGGTATCTTGAACGGCCTCAGTAACACAGAAGCAACCAAGAACAGATCTCTATCAGCATTTGATCTGTCTTGGGCTTTTGTAATAATTATGGTAGTTATCCTTATATTGATAATTACATTAATAATACTGGCTCTTGTCGTACTTGAAAAGAAGATCCAAACTGGAGATGCGAACACCTCTGTTATAATTGACTGAATAATACAGTTGCCATATTACTCCTTTAAAATTTGAATACAATTGGACTCTTGAACATTAAAAAAAACACGAGTTTATATACAGAAATGTTCCACCTCAGAGGTAAATACTCGTGACTAATACTTAATTATAAAAGTTTTAGTTATTTTTGCAATGAACTCCTTGGAATCGAATTCCAACCTCTGATGTGCCATCAGTGAAAGTTGAAATGTCATTCCTAAACCAGACAGCACTTACCGTCTAAGCTTTCGTAATTAGTTAATGTATTTGTTTGAATCGATAAGATATCTTGAAATGCAAACGCTGTAATGAATCCAGTCACCTAAAATAAGAGTTGGCTTCGGAATAATCCTTTTCTGTTTGTCAATGTTCCTTTGTTGCTTGTCGGAACGTATTACACTTCTGTGTCTGTTCAGTGATAATTTTCGTTTAATTCTTCAACACTTCATTTCCTAAAATAAGTAAACTATATTTCATTTCAATTTTTGACAGTTTATCAAATTCTTTTCACAACTCTCCGTCCTGGGAAATAATTAGATATTTTTTTAAGTCCGTTCTGATTGATTAAATCAGGAGTGTAAGGTACAAAATGTTGGTTTCAGATTCCATTTGCCATAGGACATATTACACGTAAGGAATATTTATAACACGTTAATAACATTGAAATAAAGATTTCCGTGGTCTGTGGTGACGTATTCTGTACATATGTGACATTAATCCAATAAAATATTATTTTATATCTGAAACTTTGCTGATATTTCGTAAAATTACATAGTTCCTTTTCTTTATTTCAAGTAAATCAACTCAGAAAAATTAGGATTACCACTTAATAAATAAAACAATTCAGGAAACCAGTTCAACTGCCATTGTTTCACAGCGGTATTAAATTATTTACTATCTGCACAAAATACCACCCAAAAAACTTTTATTTTTAATAATATCCAGCTTGCAAATGATATTTCAGCGAACACCATTAGAGACAGTTCATTTCCAAAGGGGTCAGGTCCTTCACAACTATTCATTCCCCATACCCACTTTGATCTCTGAATGATTGATACGATCGATTTAATAGAGTAATTAATGGCAATTGAACAATTCTTTGAATAAGGGAATGATTGAGTGAAAAACTGGATTAATTTTTTAATGAAATATGAGTTTTAATCTTGCTTGAGGGCAGAAGCTCATTGTCTTTCGTAGTTAAATGTATACTGGTGCTATCTGCTGGATGGTATAACAACACGATAATCGTCGGTCACAGTGGCTGTGTCCGTATTGCAGAAATCTTCTTTGTACGATTTGCAGAAAACGAATGTAATCTGGGGGCGAACTATGTCTGTTCGTCCGTCCGCCCGCGTAATTTAACAAGTTGTTGAAGTAAGTTTTACATAATTCAGGCTGTCGTTGGAATCCACTGTCGTTGTCAAATTCGTCTCTACGTCAGACGTATTACAGTGAAAATGGAAGACACTACTTGTTAGACCAAGGCGTAGATAGACAGTCACATTAAAATGGATCTTAAAAATACTGGGTGTTGGAATATGGACTGTGACTTACTGATTTGACGCAGAATATTATCCAGTGGCGAACTGTTTTTAACTACCATTTCCACGAATGAATGGGAGTTTCGTGACCAGCTTAGCGACTGTTAGATTCTCAGAACACGGTAACGAAACTTCGGGCTAAACACAACGCAGGAAATCTGTTGAATAGCTGAGCGACTGATAGTTTCTTCAAAAAAAAGGACATTGCTTCGTGTTTATCGCCCTGTGGTCGTGCATCACATTCTGAGTCAGGCTGTAGTTCTGTGAGGGGAGTCATGACCGTCCCGCCCTGTCCCGGGGGCCTGACGTGAGGCCGCAGTCACGATGTTGGCCCCTCAACACAACAGCCACATCCACCGGTCCAACTACTACATAACAAATATTCGGGCCTTACAGGTAAATGCCATCTCAGGGTTAGCCAAGTTTTGACTAATAATTGGAATTTGTCTTGATCTGGTAACGGGGCCTGTGGCCCGAGAATTTTCGTGGGAGGGACAGAATAAAAATAGGAGAACAGAGAGAAATACCTACATTAATGTGAGAACAAGATTTTTTTTTAAAAAAAATGTGTATCAAATGAGATGACAGAAAGATTCAGGAAATGTAAGATCAAATGCGTCGAGTGCGAATGAATTGGTTACGTGACGTCACAGAGTTCCATGATCGTCCAATCAGGTTTCTGTTTTGAAACATCGTATACGTGATTAGTCAAGACAGTGAGACAGGAAGGAATAATGCCGGCACTGGACATTGATTACTTAACTTGAATCCACCGTTCGGAGCGTCAGGTATTCTCCGAAGCATGACAACGTAAATGGATCTACGGATCCATCAAAGTGTCTGAGGAATGAGACGTACGATTATGTGATCCTTTGTCAGCTCCGTCATGACTGAATGAAAACTTCCAGAGAGCGTGAACCATAGTTACGGAAAATCAGTGTTTAATCGTCGTTGTTTATTTAACGACGCTGAGAAAGTGATTACTTCTTTAAAAAAACATTAAGAAAATTGATCTTTGTAATGGCGTGAATTTCTTTTGCGGTAAGAAGAATCTTTAAATGTTATTTAGTTGACCTTCAGGCCTCAGAGTTATCTTCAAAAATTATTTGTCAATTACAACATTTCACAAAAAGATAATTACAGTGGCAATTAATTTTGCCACAACTGTATACAGCAAATTGATTTTGAGCTTTTGGTGGCTAAAACATCCCCCTTGTTTGATGACGTACTCAAATAACACGGTACTTAACAAATACGAATTGGAAAGGATGTGGAAGGAAGCGGTCGTTATCTAAATTAATATTCTATTCCGGAATTTGCATGGAGGGTTTCTGAGCCGAGATTTGAACCCAGGATCTCCGAAATACGGAACAGGGTTACCAACCACACGGCCGTTACTTTCAGTAACATATAATTTTGGGTGTGATCTTTGATATATCACTGATCAATGCTTGAAGTTTTAAAATATAAAGTACGAAAGATCTTTTTACATCAAATTCATTCTCAAGGGCTACGCAGTTATAAGAAGATGGCTGTCTTCTGGGTTCTTGCGCCGTGTAGTCTGGTTGAAGTTTACCGACGTTTCGGAGGTCATTTCTGCCTCCATCATCAGGGCGATGAGCGTCGCTTTCAGGGCCCGTAGAATGAGAGAAGTGGGAAGGGTGGAAGGGAAAGGTTGAGGGTAGGATTCGCAGTTTCCAAGAAGCGATAGAGTTATTCTTGAGATGCGAATTCCTGCAATTGCCAGTAGGCACAGAGCAAGCCCGTTGCACCGCTTGCGTGTTGGCCATTTCGCTCGTATGTCGAATAATTCCCATCGTATATAGAGCTCGGCCTCCCCCCCACCTACAAAGTGCGTACCCGAGATACAATAAGGTCAATGCAAGAAGAGGTCTTTGCCCGCCTGTAGAGGTATCCGGCACCTCCCGGTAGCTTCTTATTCCGTTGGTGTGTGCCTGCCAACTGGATTGGGGCGTGGCAGCCGAGAGACTCAGGGGCGGATTGGCCCGATGGATTTCTACCTATCTGACGCGACGTTTTGAATTAGCAATGTTTTGGAAGAACGTACTGCCTCTATCTTCAGGGCTGTAGTGGCGAGCTTCTGCGTCGTTGTCCCGTGTGAACTTGTAGGTGGGTAACAACGTTTCGGCGGAACATATTGCCTCCATCTTCAAGGTGTGAAGAAGTATTTTTTCTTAGAAATGTTGGTAGCTACTTGTAAGTCCACGCTATTTTACAACCCAGAAGTCTGTCTGTCGTATTAAACCGTTTTCAGATTCTGATATTTGGGGTTAATGGATCCATAGTGGATTCCACTGCACATGTGTGACGACGGACACATGGAAAACGAAATTAGATCGAAGACTGTAGAATGCAGTCTTCTGGTTCATGACGCTTTGTGGTAAGTCCTACAACACTTCCTCCCACGTGTCAAAGTAGGTTCCGGATAAGTTACGTAAGACCCCGTATCGTACGCAAGTAGGCTGGCCTTTGCTCATACAAGAGAACAATTCGTTACCGACCTTGGTAACAGTTTATATTGTGCAATTAAGCTAATAACGCACGTAAAACGCGTGGATTAAAATTGGATTGTTTTAAATTAGTACCTGCAGATCCGTTTTCATATCCGGCCCAGGCTTGTGGGCGTAAAGCCACTGTTAAATTACGTGTGAATATTTTAAACACCTAACCGAATATCATAACAAGACCGATCTTGTTTTCGTATCGACTATCTTGTTTTTTGGACAAGGAAATTAGACCCGCCCTTCGCAGAGTCCTCATAGTGGAATAATCTTACAAACAAGATCCAGAAAGACCGTGTTTTGTAATGCATCTGCTATCTTTAGACGAAACTTCAGGTCATCGCTTGTAAAGATGTCAAAGTTCGTCTTCTGGTTTACAACGCCGTGTGGATTTGTAGATAGAACCCACATTCTTTAGCCCTGAAGATAGAGAAATTGTTCCTCCGAAACGTCGGTTTCTGCCTATAAGTTCACAAGGGACGACAAAGCAGAATCCATCGCTACAGCCCTGACGATGAAGGAAGTATGTCTCTCAACGTTCAGTAATGTTCTCCAACCATCACAGCCATTGTCTTATACAATAAAAGTAGAGCAAAATGACCTTGAAAATGTAAGATGCCTGTACTTTGAGCCAGGAATATTTGCAGTAGGTCTTAATCCCATGGCGTAGGAACTTCTTTGGGGAAGCTGACGGTTGCTCACTAGGCCAATAAAGTTTTAAAGCATAAGGACGGTGGCACACAAGAAACCAACCATTTGACTCTGTCGTGTGTGAATTTAACACATTCCGCACCTTTACGTCACATTCCTCTGATTAATTTTAATATTATACCTATATGCTCCCATTTACGCCTATGCCTTTAAAATTGCGTCCTAAATTTCAAAATCGCGACTAAAATACTTGTTTACATTTTTTATTTCCTCTTATTCGTAATTAAACAATGAGCCGTGATAGCTCAGTCAGTATAGTGACTAGCTACGGGCTGGACGACCGGGGTTCGATCCCCGACGGGGGCAGAGGATTTTTCCTCTAGCCTCTGCGTCCAGACCGGCTCTGGGGCCCACCCAGCCTCCTCTACAATGGGTACCGGGGTCCTTTCCCGGGGGTAAAGCCGGCCGGGGCGTGATGCTGACCACTCACCCCCATCTAGTGCCGAGGTCAAGGAAGAGAGGAGCTATACCTCCACTCACCCCAAACGCCTACATGGCGTTTAGTGGGACAAACTTTACTTTACTTCGTAATTAAACAAAATAAACATTTTAATTTATGTGTGTGTGTGTGAGAGAGAAGACCACCCATAACACACAACGATTAAAATTAATGTGCAATATAAATAGTGCGTCTTCTTTCCGAGACCAGGTAAGTGCCAGGCGAAAATGATGTTCATTACTTAGGACCGAGGGGCTGACACCGAGCATCCCATGGGGCGGTGATAGATGAATGTGGATCAGTGGTGGAATGACGATTATCGGAGTAAAACCCAAGAACCGGGAAGAAAATCCTCTTCAACGCCACTTCATCCGTTACGATTCTAATTTGAAGTCGCCCGGCAATGCATTGGTTTCAGTGCGTCATAAAAAGGGGACTATAATTTGCCGGTTTTCAACTGCATTAATGTCATATTTTTGCCTCTCGGGTCTGCGACTGTTGACAGTAACAGGTAGAGAGACGGAATCAGACAG